GCTATATAGCTCGTTGAGAAATGAGGTTAAGTTGGTCGCTATAATCTACGCCCTACATCCAATGTGTCAGAGCCAACTTCGACCACGTTTTTATTTGAACGCTCGTTCTAATCGACCTTATTCGGGCGCTGACCAGGCACCACTGTCTCAAATAACACCCTCTCTGTTTCGGCATCCTTAGCTACATCTTTGTATATACCCATAAATTACATTATTCAAGGGCACATAATTACTTGGCTGGCGCATTTCGTGTGAAAGCTGAGGCCTGATTCAAAGCAACCACGCTAGTTTCATTTCATAATTAAATATATATTGATTCGCATCATTACAATACTTTAAAAATAACCAAATGTTACACTATTTGATCTTGGGGTAGATTTTGGGCTATGTCTTCTAGTATCTGAGGGTCTGGGGTAGAATTTTGATTTAGCATATCGTCAATGTCTAAATCGTCTAGGTCGTCTGGAATGTTAACAATCATTGATTGTGTATCTTCTATAGGATTAAATTCTTCGATTTTATACGTGATAGAGCATCGGCTACTTTATTATTGGTACCAGGTTTATATTTGATTTCGTAATCGTATTCAGAAAGTTTCAATTTCCAACGTACTAATTTTGATGAGGGGTCTTTAAGATTAAAAAGCCACTGAAATGGGCGGTGGTCTGCGTAAATAATAAACTTTCTACCGAAAAGACATGGTCTAAAATTTTGTACTGACCAGACTATGGCGAGTAATTCCTTCTCTATAGTAGAGTAGTTAATTTCATGTTGATTTAAAGTTCTTGACGCATAACAAATAGGCTTCGAATTTTGAGACAGCACGGCCCCTAGTGCGAAATTTGAGGCGTCGGTAGTGAGTTTGAATGGTTGTTCGTAATTTGGGTATTGTAAGATTGGGTCATTAGTTAAAAGTTTTTTACATGATTCAAAACAATTAATAAATTCAGGGGTGTGAACTATCTTTTCTTTCTTTTTAAGACAAGATGTAAGGGGTTTTGTTAATTTAGCGAAGTTATAAATGAAGAGCCGGTAAAAACCTATTAAACCTAAAAACGATTTAATTTCCTTTTGAGTTTTGGGAATCGGGAAATTTTGAATAGCATGAATCTTTTTGGCATTCGGTTTAATTCCTTCTGGAGTTACGATATGTCCTAAAAATTCAACAGTTTTTGCTAAAAATTCACATTTATCTAACTGAATTTTGAAATGATGATCGGAAAGACATTTAAGAACTAGTGATAGGTTTTGGATATGTTCTTCGAGCGTGGATGAAAATATGATAATGTCGTCCATGTATACTAAACAGATGCGGTTTTGTAAATTTCGTAACACGTCGTCCATACAACGCTGGAAGGTAGAGGGTGCGTTCTTTAATCCAAAGGGCATTCTACAGTATTCGTAGTGTCCATTTTCTACTGTAAAGGCGGTTTTAGGAATGGAATTTTGTTCTACCTCGATTTGATGAAAACCGGAAGCAAAATCTAATACCGTAAAATATTTAGCATTACCGAGTTTGTCCAGAATATCTATAATAATAGGTAGGGGTTATATATCATTAATTGTTTTTGCGTTTAGATCCCTATAGTCGATAACGAGTCATCATTTCTGTTTTCCGGAAGCGTCTGATTTTTTTGGAACAACCCAAATGGGGGATGAATAAGGGCTGTGTGAAGGTTTAATAATTCCGTCTTCAAGCATTTGAGATATTTGGTTTTGGACCTCCTGCTTGTGTATATAAAGGTATCTATAAAACTTTTTATATACTGGTTTTTCGTCTAATGTTTTTATTTCATGCTTTACTTTACTTGTGAAGGTTAGTTTATCGCCTTCTTGATGGATAATGGAGGGGAATTCAGAAAGAGTTTTAAATAACAAATGCTTGTTTTGAAAGTTTAAATGGGATGTTCTAATTAAAGAATTTAATGTATCATAGGGAATTGTGGTAGATTTAGTATTATTTTGGAAAGGTCCGTTTATAAAATTACTATTTCTTTGGACGAAATAATCGGAAAGGAGATGAAAATGGTATAGAATTATATTCTAAAATCACATCTGGGTATTATCCGAGGCTACTTTCTGAAAATTTTCGTCTATTTAATTTTCATTAGAATTTGGTGAATAGTTAGTTTGATTTGTGCTGCTAACAAAATTAGGTTGTTGAGTTTGGAATTTTTGGAAATGGTTGGTTGGTAAGGCATGAGTGGGTTGATAGTAGTGATTTGGTCTTGGTGCGTTTATTCTAGGTTTTTGTAGAAATATTTTTTGATTTGATATTCGAGAAGATTCTTCAAATTGTTCTTCCACAGTAACGGCTTGTATCGCCTCAGTAATGTTTGTGATATACTTATCTAGTTCTAATTAATTGTTTATATTGAATGGGTAAACAACGCGTATATGTCTCTAGGGCCATTTCCGCATAAATATTTACTTGAGCTTGTTTTTCTTCAATGGGCCGATTTTGTTCATTGATTTTTGCAACTAAATTACTTAAAATGCTCATGATCTCTTGGCTTAAATGCTTTGGTGATAATTTACTAACCGGTTGAATGTAAATAAATTTATTTTGTAATGAAGAGATACTATCGCCATCTCCAAATAATTCTAACAATAGTTGTTTCAACGCGTTCCAATTATCTAATTCTAATCGGCAAGATATGGACAAATCTGCTTGTCCTATTAATTTAGCTTTTACAGATGAAAGAAGAAATGATTTAAAAGTTTAGTTTTCTGATGGAAAAGCAAAAAAGAGTTCGTCAGCAGCACGAATAAATTTTTGTAGGAGCTGGGGATTTTCTCCATTAAATTTTGGAATATTCTCAATGTACATACGTACAAGAGCGTAATCTACAGGTTGATTCATTTCTAATTTGTTTTCCGGTAGAGGATTAACAAATAAAGTAGGTGTAACTATATCTTCTGTTTTAGAGGTACTGGGGAAAACGATTGGCTCGTCCAATTCTTGGTTAAAACGACTCCGTCGAATTAACGGAACTTTCGGCATTAAAAACTATTTAATTATTGACTTTCTGTTTTAATTGTATCTAAATTTGTTGTACTTAACTTAGTAACTAGTTTAGGTAATTCCTCGTTTTTGCTATAGAGAAATTGCAATTGTCTTTCACTAGAATTTTTGAAAGGATTAAATTGTTTATTCTTTCTCTTTTTCTCAATTTCTTTATTGATTACGGCAATTGTTTTTGCATCTATGACTACTTTCATTGATTTAACGTTAATTTTACAGTTTGAGAAACAACCACTTATTTATTTATTTGTTTACTTTTCAAAAAAAATAAAAATTCTTAATCAAGATAAAATTTTTATCTTGTAGTCTCAACGTTGGCTCACTTAACTCTGTTAGGCCTCAATCTGCCTACTACTAACAGAATAATGCTTCGTTACTAGTGTGTTGAATATGGTAGCAAAAGTCTTAATTCTAGTTTCTTAAAATTAATGGAAAATAAATTCACTTCTGTTAGCACTGTAATTATAGGACTTAGGAAACGACTTATTTTTGGAAATACAGCAGAGCCTTGGTGTAGACAACAGGTTTCATAAAGTTTAGTCTTCCTGTGCAGCGTTTCTTCGTGTGTTTCTTTTCCGGAAGTTGTGGCTCTAGGAACTTGAAGAATACAGCAGCAATGAACAGGTTCTTCTTGTTCTTCAACTAGAATGGCCTCTGGTACAGAATTCTACCGACTGCGACAGTTATTGGTTCGTTCTCTACAGGGAAACTGCGGTTAGTTGACCAACCCCTAGCAGTTCTGATCCGATGAATTTCAGCAGCCCCGTAGATAACTTAAATTATAACAAGTTTTGAACAAACACTTTTATTTGTCTAATTACAACTAACAACGTGAAGTTTGAATCTATATTCGTCCTCCTGAGCGGTTGGTTGGGTTTTTATATGATTTATTATCAGCTAGCAACTCAGCAGGCGATTTTCTATTGTCAGCATAATAATAAAAGACACTTATAAGTAAATAGTAGTTATAAAATAATATACAGATACTGTGAAAATATATATATACACGGTGATTGGATAACATCCATATGAAATACCACCAAAATCTAAAACGTAATTCTTATTTAAATTTCCTGCGACCCGAGCTTTTTTGATGAAATGGATACTTGCCTTTAAACATCAGACAGAGCAGGTCGTTCAAGCAGGACGGGGCGCCAGCTCACTATTCTCGTGAAATATGCACTTATTTAAATGACCAATTTCCTCATCGATGGATTAGAGGAAGTGAATTCCGATGGCCACCTCGCAGTTCTGATTTAAATCTTTTGGATTATTACGTGTGAAGCCATTTGAAAGCATTAATCATATTTTTAAAGTCTGTAAATCTTTAACAAAAAGAATTAGAAAATATATGGAAGTAGACGGAGGTCATTTTGAAAATTCAATAAAATAATTCACGGTTATAGTGTACTGTTCAGTTACGTTTATGTTGACAATTTTGCTTTTGATTAAATAAAAATTAAATTTCTTCTCTAACTTTCTTGTCATACATTGAATTTTTTAAATGCAAATATCTCGAGAACGAACGGTAATTCCTAGGACGTCAAGAAAACACAAGAATAAATGTTATTTGTTCTTGTGCAGAAAGTATAATTTTCTTATGTAAAAGCGATAGAAAAAGAGATGTTGCTATCAGAAAATAAGATATGGTGTGTAGCAAAAAATGTCTGAGGGGCGGCGTAAATGGCACTCGCTAGAATGTATGCCAAAGTTAAGAGAAAATTTGAATATTTCATGCCAAAAATCCCCGTAATACCAAATTTCGTTTAAATACATAAATTATTTCGAAGGTCATTTGAAAATATTGAAAATAAAATTTTGATTTGGACACTCTGTTACTATCAACTTTTGGACTTTTGTCCAGATCACATTATTATAACGTCACAAATCATCTGTTACTGTGTACAATTCATTACCAGACACTCTGTACTCATATTTAAGATATTTTAGTAATATCGATCTAATCATTTTTTAGCTCTACAGACACGGCGACAAAACTCCAACGACATCATTCCCAAACGACCAATACTTCGACCTCTCATACTGGCCCATGGGCTTTGGCCAACTAACCAATGTAAGTACCTGCAGGTAGTCAATCATGCTTACACATGTGTATTGCTGGTTGCCTACTTTTGCAACGCTCACTACCTTGAATATTATTTATTGAAAGTTCTTTCCTTCCAGAATGGCAAGAAACGCCACTACGAGCTGGGGAAATGGTTCAGGAAGCGGTACGCTTCTTTCCTTCCCGAGGAATACAACGCCAAAGATATTTACGTCTTCTCGTCAGACGTAGATCGCACCCTGATGTCCGCCCAGGTAAATTTAGCAGGTCTATACCCGCCCAAGGGTGCCCAAGTGTGGAACGAGAACCTGCTGTGGCAACCCATACCCGTCCACACCATGCCAAAGAAAGAGGACCAAATTCTTTACATGGAAAGGCCTTGCCCGAAGTACAAGAGACTGTATAATGAGACTTACAAGAGCGACTTCTTTACAAAAATCGACGAAAAGTACGCGGACTTTTACAAAGAAGTGTCTACCTTGACAGGCTGGGAAATCGACGACGTTCATTACTTCGCTCAACTCCAGTCTGTGTTGTACGTTTATACTAACCACAACAGCACTTACTTACCCCCGTGGAGTTCTTCCATGGACCAAGACAAGCTCAACTATTTGGCAGGTTTAAACTACGCGAGGTACACGTTCACAGAAGACCTGAAGAGACTCGGTGACGGTCCCTTCTTCGATAACCTCTTCACCAAACTCGACAAGGTGCTAGATCCTGCTCAAGCGGCTCCAAAGTTCTTGATGCTTTCCGCTCACGAGAGTACTTTGTCTTCGGTACTGAACGGGATGGGAGTTTTTGATAACAGAGCACCAGAATTCGCGTCTTGTGTCATTTGGGAGGTGAAAAAGGACACCGGTGGCGACCACTACGTCAATTTATTCTACAAGAAAAACAGCAGTGACGCCTTGGACCAACTGCAACTAGACGGTTGCGATATGGACTGTAAATATGAGAGTTTTAAAAAGACGTTGAGTCCGATTACTTTAGATTTAAAGTCGTGGGATGATGAGTGTGTGAGGAGTGATTAGAAATAGGTGTAATATATTTTATTCAATTTGTACAGTACTTGACTAATAAATTACAAAAAAAAAAGATTTCTCTTTACTGTTGTTAAGAAAATATTTTTTTCGTTGGTCACTCTTGTTGACATTCCTTGTTCCAGTCTTCCAAACTGGTCCTTACTGGAGCCAAAACCTTTTGGAAGTTATCGAAATCACAGTCGAAATCACAACTGGGTAAAGTAATGTTGGCTATCTCGGTGGGATTCCTGTAAAAGACGTTTACGAAATCGTTGTTTTTTCCTTCCCTTAACTCGAAAATAACCGAGGAAGCATAGTACGGCCATTTGTTATCATAAACTTGCATTGCAGTCAAAAGAGGAGCTATTGTACTGTCATGGCCCGACAACATTAAAAATTTCGGTGTGTCTTCGACGTTGTTCTTTACATTTTCGAAGTGGTTGAGGATGAGGTCAATCAAGGGACCTAAAAGGAGTTTTTTAACTTTGTTATGGGCATTGTGACCTCTACACTCACCTGATCTTAGCCTAGCTAAATCCTGGGTGTAAGCATACGCACTCCATGCTAGACCACTTAATTGTTCAATTTCCTCAGTCAGGAGGGACTGTGTCCAGTCGGGCTGAGTAAGATTGTGAAGATTTTCAATGTAGACTGTATTGTACAAGTCCATCAGGTCTACAAGTGTGGTAATATTTTCTCCAGAATTCTTAGAAAAGTAATCCATCTGTTCCTTGTACTTATCCAGGGTTGAACTGAAAGGTTCTTCTTCCATAAGTTCCTTCAACAACTTGGAATATTTGGAACAAGGTTTGGATTGGGCTAAAATTGCGTCTTCTGTTTTCGGCGTCGTATGGATTGGAATGGGTTGCCATTTTAGTTGGTCGTTCCAGACTTGGTTGCCTTCTGGTGGATATAAACCTGCCACATTCGACTCGGCGGACATCAAACACCTGTCTACGTTGGAAGAATGGATTTTTATGTCATTCTTGTTATATGAAACAGGTAAGAAATCTACGTATCTCTCTCTTAGCCATTTGCCTAAACCATATTGTTGTTTTTTTCCAATCTGGAATTGGGGGTGGTGAAAATTTCAAAGTAATTATTAATAAACGTTTCACTCACGTTTGTTAATTCGCCAAATCCCAGGGGCCAGTAAGATTCGTCGGCGTAGGGGTCATTTTTGTAAGCCTTGACAGGTGCTCGATCCCCATGACGATATAACTGAAAAAAATGTATAAATATGTGTCATCACTTAAGATTTGTTATCGGTATTGATAAACGTGGTTTAATTTTATTATGAATGGTATATTGAGGCTAATTCTATAGTAATTTATTAATATATTTATTAGCAAAGAAAGAGCAACAGATTGGTCAGCGAGTCGTCCATTTCTTCAACAAACTGTCCCGACCTTTTGACCTTTCACAATTCACAGGCAGCAATTTTGTTATTTTTTTGTAATTGGGACTTACCACTACTACAGATATGAGATCATTTCCGATGGGTTGGGCAAACACGTCTAGAAATATGACCAAAAGATTTATTAACACTAACAACTTGGACATTTCAACAAGTGTTTACCGCTATCACACCACTATTAACTGCCTATTTCGTGGACGATAAGAAAATAGGTGTTTATATCTAAATTAACATATTTGCATTAAGTGGGTACTTGCAACTGTTTAAAGGCCAACAATAATTTTTTATGATGATAATAACATAATCTACAACTGATAACGAAAAATATGTTTTTCGTGTTATGCTAAAATATTATTTCAAGCATAAAACCAAGTTTATATTATTTTGGTACCCCAACGGATATTTTCCAAAAGCAAAAAACTGTTTTACTTACCACAACAACCGACAACAATTCTTCATTTTGCGGTATGATGGCACATTTTACCGTTACAACCAGTAATGTCAAAGCCAGGGAAGTGAACATAGTTCTTTTTTGATTACTATCATCACAGTGCAGTTAATACACGTGTATTTATTTTATATCATATCACCTTAGTATATAGGGTGGCAATATATAAATTAATTCTAATCGTTTCAGAAACGAAACATTTAGCAAGTGTTTAATTCTATTTTTTTTTTTACTTAGGATACCATTCGATAATGACGTAGATATATTGAGGCGGTACCATACTGAAGGCAAAACCGAGATTCCTCATTCGATCGTTTATTTGGTTCACTGTGTAGGTATATCTTTTTAAAACCGGTAAGATCTGCTTAAAAAAAATCACCGAAAATTCGTAGTAATTTAATTTTTCTCTTTTGGTGCAGCTTACCACGTATTTAAAGAGTTGCTTACATAAGATTTACGTCGAAATATGTAAATCTTTACGTGGTGCGCAAAAATGAATAGTTAGATTGCAGAGAAAGTAACAATATACCAGCGCTTTTCACTGAAATAAAATTTCTGCAACAAAATCGGATTGTTGCTTTCATTTGGTGTTAACAAACATCAAAATCGGAAAACAATTCATTTTGTCAATCGTAATCATTAATCGAATTTTATGTGCTTATTTTTCTGTTAGCACTCACTCAATAGGAGTTATTTAATGCATATTGTTTATATAATTAAGATATTACATAAGTGTAATAATTTTTATCGGAGTTGGTCACTTCAAAATAATCTTAATTGATGTTTCAATAATAAATTAAATTTATTGGTCATTTTCCGTGAACTGGCTAGGTCTTTCTTCTTTATTATCATATGCTTGGGCTAAACCTTTTGTGATAGATGATAAAACGAATCTACTGCTTCTAAAAATAAGTTGATAAGAAATAATTCAAAGAGAGTTGCAAGATTTTGAAAAATAGAATGTTTATTTTTACAATAATTTTATTCACAAAACTTTTCAGCGAAATTCCATGTAAAATGTTACATAAATATAAACTATTTATAAAGTGATGTCAACAAATAGCAACATTACTTTTTTGTCTCTTCTGTTTTATTAGAATTCTAGAAAATATTAAATGATGTACTGATTAAACAGACGGAGAGGGTATACCTTGTTTGTGATAGAAGCAGAATCCTAGAAAAGTAGCAATTTTCATTGAATATAATTATGCAATTCAGTTGGCTTATCCTGCGGTAGATGTCGCTGTCAAAACCGAAATATAGTGCTAATATACAGGGTGATTCACAAACGGTGACCAAAAACGAAACCTCCTATTCTTTGTTGAATTTTAAGGGGAATCTGGTGCCTTAAGTTGTTATTGAAATTGGGCACATGTATGTATGTAAACAATGACCAAAATCTGAGTACTTTTCCTAAAATTTGGATGCTCCAGTGGCGGAGATAGAGGGTATCGGTGGCATGTTTTTCTAAATAAAATGGTACGCCACTGCTTTACATATACATATGGCTTTACGGTAACAATCATGATATTTTCGGATTCGTCTTTCAATTTTTACAAATTACTGCTCTTTTATGTTTTTCGAAGAAAGGCAGATTTTCGAGTAAAACTTATATATCAAACTGAAGACACTTCGATATTCGAGTAAAATGCGGTTTAACATTACATTCGATAGCAACTTTGACATTCTGAGCAGTTAGAAGAAAGATTAAATAATGCTTTTCATCAGATTCAAGCAACAATAAATTTCGAACAAATTACATTTTCATTACTAAAAAGATGTCGCGTCTGTGTTCCTGGAAATGGAGGAAATTTTGAGCAATTACTCAAATAAAGTCATCATCAATGTTAAGTAAGAAGAGGAAGAGAAGTTGTTATTTTGTGTAAACAGTTTCCTGTAACTACATTTTTAAGATGGATTATTATTTTTTATTTAATTTTGAAGTTATCATATTAAAAGTAACCGGAGTCTTTGTATAAAGCATCGATAAACTGATAAAGCCCTAATCTTTTGCAATAAATCACAATTCGAATTGAAACACCGGTTCTAAAAATAACGGTAACAAACGAAAATATCATTAATCAACCGTAAGCTGTTCGAGAAAGACAACAGTTTAATATTTTTCCTCTATTTTGTTCAAACAGCGTAAATACATTTTTTATCTTTTGGTGCGTTGTTGCTTTGTTCTTGGAATTGTTTACATGGTTGTGTACTTGCTCGATTATCTTAAGTTTGATTAATTCAGCAGGAAATTATATTTGAAATGCGTTTGTTTCGTTTTGAGACAAGAAAAAAACAGTTAATTTCTTTATCTCCAAAGATGGAATAAAAAATTGACATTCCATAGATTAGTTTATATTTTGAACTAATCTTAATGTTACTTAAAAATTAATTTTGAAATTCATAGCCACCTAAGACTTTCAATTTTTTTCACCGCAATCTTTACCAAGTTACTAGGTTATCAAATAGTTTATAAAAAATCATTGGTTTTAAATTATGAGAAATTAATAGCTGGTATTGGATGTCAATACGTTATCTAAGCCATCTTAGCTTTATTTACAAAAGAATCTTCATCATTATCGACTTACACATATTTAAGAAGTGTTCTCAAATACAATTTGTCCGCTGATACTTCAAAATGTATATTTTATTCAAATGCATGTACTGCTTACTAAAACAAGCTAGAATTAATATGTAAATTTATCTTAAATTCATGTTACCGTTTGCAGTTAGCGGTTTACGTAATAAAAATGTATACAAGGTGTCCAAATCTACACGATCGCAGTATGCATTTTAATAATAGTTAATTTATTGAAAACTAAATTGTAATTTTAGCTTAATTTTGTTTTACACACGTGTAACAAATTAATCACGCCTTATCCATTGATAAATAAATACGTAACACCATAACGCATCACCAGTAAATATGCTTATATATAATTGTTTATGAGAAAATATGGGAAAATCTGAAGTTTTTAAAATTAATTGTGTTTTGAAACTATCAGTTACTGAAAAATACAATCCAGTACCTCATTAGTAGTTTGATTTATAGCCTGTCAGTATATCGCAAGATTTGGAAATTTTTACTAAAAATCAATTATGAGAAGATAACGTCCCTCAAAAACAATCGGGCTTGTCAAATCAACAGAACAGAGATATAAAAATATTTGTTATTTGTTGGAAACTCGGGGTTAGTTTTAAGTAAATAAATTATATTATTACAATAAATGTAATCAATGTAAAAATTGACGCACAGATTGAGGTTAAAGCTAGTAGTGACATTCAATTTAACTGAACCATGTACACTAAGGTGATACAGACCACAAATAATTAATTTGAAAAAATAAACCCCAACATTTTTAACTTTGTCAAATCGTTGGTTAAATGTAGATATCTCCAAAGGGAGGAGTTGTATAATTTATTATAATTGCAATAAAAAAATAATTACCAGATGATAATGCAGATATATGTCAAGGTCGCTGCACAAAGTGTATTATTTGTTCAATATATAGCGCCGGTAACAAAGATTGTGTAAAAATAACACCGAGGTCTTCCAAAATATTTTGACTACATCGGTCTAATTACTTTGATTACTAATTGCCTAATACCATTCTTTAATTGCTTGTAATTAGTTCTTATCTCAGCTTTTAACCTACTAACAGGATGTGCTTTATAGAAAATAGAATATGGTGTTTCTAGATGTACTACCCAGAAATTAAAGTTGGTGGATCTTCGCAGTCATATTTCGGATCAGAAGAGCAGAATTGTTAGGAGATATTGCAATTAAATTTTGTTTGGTAACCATAGACTCTTTTTAAAAACTATCTTGCTTAAAATAGAGGGAGTTTGGTAATTTTAAAAAACAGAAACTTTGAAACAATTAATGTTTGATTTTTATTGTGTTTTATTACATTTTACACAAAAATATAGCTAGAAATTTGAAACATCGTTGATATAAGCGACAATGATATATTACTAGAAATTAGATTGTTAAATTTAAGTATCGTATATTGTGAAAAAGTCAAAAAAGCTACGATTTCATACTTAAAAATACAGGGTACCTGCGAAAGGTTGGGAAATCTTGAAGCTGGAGATACTGGTGGCCAAAATAAGTCGATTGAGCCAAATATACCTTATGCAAATGTTGCTGGTTTCAAAGATACAGGGCGTTCAATGTTTGAATTTTATTATGAAATTCCTCAATAATTTCTAAGACTGTCAGAGTATGAACAAACAAATTGGCACTGTCATGTTTTCTGACATGACAAATAAGAATTTTTAACTAATTTTGATGTTTGTATAGGGCGTTAGCTATGCCCTATTCCTTTGTAGTCCAGTTACTCGGGGTTTTTACCTCCGAATTCTTTATAACTGAACCGATTGACGTGAAATTTTGACTGAATGTGGGGAATGCCTCAAAGAACAAACTTATATATAGTGCCGAAGTGTGCTTTTGCCCTGGGGGTGGTTCCCACACCTTCTTGGAGGGGTGGAAATTTTTTTGCCCAAAATAACCACAGGAATCGATGGAGGAGTCAATTTTAAGTAACAAATGTGATATAAAGTTTTTTGGATAATCCAATACTTTCCGAGTAATTCGTCATTGAAAATGTAGATTTTTTACTAAAAAGTGCTTGTTTTCGGACAGTTTTTTGCAAATAACTCTGAAACCATTGGATTTAACGAAAAAGTTGTAATGACCAAAATGAAAGTTAATAAAAAAGCAAATCTAATGGCATTATTTTGTTTTTCTCTAATTGCAATATAAACCGA